GGGGGGGGGGGGGCAGTTATGAAAACTGAGATGTATCAAGCCACCTGTTGCTCTTGCTGTGTGGATGATACAGTTTTCTCACAATTTCCAAACATTAAAAGAAAAAAGGTTTAGGGGTTATGAGCAGTCCGGTGTCATACATAATAAGATACACAGTCTCTTTGACAGTCATTCATTAATTTCATTAGGAATGTGATAGAAAAGTCCTCTTCGTCCACATCAACCCCTTAATCTGGAGGTTTCATGTTAATGCTGCACACTGTCAGTGTCCAACAGTAGGAGCAATTAGTTTGTAATTTCATAATTTCATCTAGCAAAATATAATTGCACAGTTCCAATGACATTTCCTTTTAACCAATATATTCAGGACATTTAGAAGAGAAATTGTAAAGACTGAAAGTCATTTCCATAATGTTCTACCTCTGGTTCATTGCATTTGTTTTAAACAATTAACACATTACTGCCATCTTGTGGTCAAAAACTTTTTTACAGCTTAAACAAAAAAAGGGACACTACATATTTTGCATCAAATAAGTTGTATTAGATGTGAAAAATAACTGAATTACCCACAGATAATTACAATCATCTCTTCTTGCAACATTCTTATGAAAATGTCTATTCACATTTTGAACAAATTACCTCCTAAATATTGAAGTTTTCATTTTCACTGGGACTGACACTTTTGCATTGATCACCTTATGTACGTACCCTGGTCAAACAAAATGTATCCAGCAGGCGGGCAGTGAAGGTCCTTTTATATTTAATTTGTTACTCAAAAAAAAAAGTACCAGACAAAATTCATGAAGCTTGATTTCACATTACGCTTAAATCTGAGCCATGACATTTGCTGTCATGTTTCACAATGTGTCTACTGATATATTCTCAGTAACGATTGATTTGTGTTTTAGAAGGTCAATCTGATTGGTCCTTAATGCAGTTTTGAGTATATAAATCCAGAGTTACAGTTATTGATGATTAATGGAGAAATGTAAGGTTTCATGTAGTGTTGTATAGCTGTTAATCCACAGACGATACACAGAGACAAGGTCCCTAACCTTGATAACAGGACATTCAAAACTGAAATGGGTTTGAATCAAATTTTTGTTGGCAACTAAAAAACTGTGAATGCAACATCCAGAGGCCTTATGGCTGAGAGGAAAATAAAGCAGCAGTGAGACCAGATTTCAGAGTAAAAGACAGACATAACAGAGTTTCAATCAGAGCTGATGTGTGTTGATATTTTGTAGTATTTCACATTAAATCCCAACACTGCAATGTGCAAGTTAGGACAATATCAATACATTATATATGAGGTGATTAGACCAGAACCATAGGAGTGGTAATACTATGCATGCTTGAGAAATATTTGCAACAGGTTTCATATCGTGTGTTCTGTAGTTCAATCTGTTTCCTTAAATTCAGGTTTAAAACTGTTCAAGCAGAGACAATGACCAGTACAGCACTGAACCCACAGATAAGCACGGGAGCCTGTGTTTAATTAATTACATGTTTAAATGGATTAAAGGGCCGGGTGCTTACTTCTATAAAAACTTGCAGTCTGAAGGTGTTTGCAGCACAGGAATAAACAGATGAAATCATCTCTTTCTCCTTTGCACTCACACACACATACACACTCCACAGCTTTCTTTGTGTTTCTCATCACACTTCATAGCAGATTCTACTATGGTAATGCTGTGCTTTTTTGCTATTCCCCACAGACCTCAGCCATCCAAAAACTCAGCGTGTCATGCTTTAGTTTGATACCTCTGATCACAGATCACATAGTAGTAGTTTCAAGGGTCAAGTTTCACGTATGGTTACTGCTATTAGTTAACTGTTTCTTTGTGGGAGAGTCTCTTACTCTCTGGGCGACACAGTGAGTGTGGACAGGCACTCCACCTGGCAGACACACCACGTCAGGCTCACTGAAGGTGTTGTGGCACAGATGGCATCCCTTCTTTTCAGACACAAAGATGGGTTTCTTCCGCTCTTTCAGCTGTGGAGAAAATACAGAAAAAGTACAATTACTTGTAATGCCTTGGTAACGCCTTTAAAAGAAGTAGTAAATACTGCTATTATTTATATTGCTGTTAACCCTTTGTAAAATAAAATCATAAAAATGATTAGTCATAATCTAATAAATGATGGTGTACCCAAGCCTGTAAAACAACACATTAAACAAGTAATGTAGAAGTGAAAGAAGTATTTGCTTTGTGTTGTGCCTTCCTTACCCTATCATGCAGCAGTTGAAGGTTTTCAGAGTGGGATAGCCCCAGAGCGATCTGGGAGGTGCGGCAGGCATGCATGCTGGCCCTGACAGCTCGACCCAGAAAGGGCCGCAGCAGCTGCAGTGACCAGCCCTCGGGGAGCATGCGCAGGACGCGGACTGCATCAAACACCTCGCCGTGACGATTTAGGAGGTCCACTGCCGCCATCTCCAGGTCTCCAGCACCACCTCCTGTTGCAGTCTGGTTCCCGTCTAGATACACCCCCAAAAGCAGGTGGAATAGCTGCTGTCGGTAAGCGGAATCCCGACAACAGGAGGCCCACGTACAGAAGGCCTCAGCAGACGGGAAGTCTCTGAGCTTGTGCACCAATATGTGCAGTGCTTTATCATGCTCCTCCAGTTTTCCATGTAGTGTTGCTCGCTCTAGCAGCAGTTCTTCACAGTTCTCCATCTTACCTAAACAGAACAGATGCAAGATGACTAATAAATTGTATGACAAGCTAAACATTATTACAACTAAATATCTCTTACATTAAAATCTTTAAAGAGCTGCTAAAAATGCTGCAAAACAGAATTTATCAAAATATACACAAAAATAACAAGATCCATCATAAAAACAAAACCTTCTTCTTCAGACTTGTGTCTCACCTAGTAGAAACTGTACACGGTATAGGTTGGACTCCCTGAGCAGGGCTTGGAGCCTCTCTCTAGCTCTTGTGAGCTGTTCTTCATCTGTTGGCTTCTTTGACATCAATGACAAGACCCTCTCCAGGTACAACACAGCCAGGTGTGTGTGGAACTTCTCTTTCTGCATTCAAAACATGGAATAAGACAATTCACATTCAATAAACTTTCTATGTGGAAGGCAGCTTAATGATCCAAAACACTTAAAAAAATATGTTTATATTAACTTGATTCACTACTCTGAAGTCTGAATAACAAATTTAAGCTGTGTTACTAAAGATAGCCTCAAAACTACACCACAAAAGGACATTAAGAATGAGTGTTTGAGGGCGGATACCAAAAGCAAACTGTCATTAGGTCCTACTGACATGCCCATGAAAAGGCCCTTGTTCTCCAAATACGACAGTGCAGCGTCCCAACAAGCAACAGATCAGATTGTGGTTTTAACTGGGCAAAAACGAGCACTGCTTGGAGTGAAAATATTGTGGCTAGAGGAGGAGGAATAGAGGGTGTACGTAACCTTTAAAAGGCAACCTAATTGACGAAGGTTAGAATTATAAGAGGAAGTCAAGGGACAGCGCTTACCACTAAGCCGCTCTGTCTCATGTGACCAGTTTCATATTTAGAATGTGGTCAATGGTGAGACTGCCGCAGTCTATGTATGTATTCATTATATTAATGCAATGCAGCACTTTATAGAAGTGATACTGCGGGGAAATTCCTCTAATGATGCTTGCTACCCTGCAGGAAGGTTAGTGTTTGAATCAGCAGCAACACAGCAGCTCTGGGGCTCGCACAGATTCTGTGTATTCCGCAAGGACACTTCATAAGAGCCAACACTTGTTGACATTAAGACCCAGACTCTTCCAGTTCTCTCTCTCTCTCTCTCAACACAAAGCCACTGTGCCATATTTGTCATTAACCGCTGATCATTTGATCCTTTTATGTTACCTGTGTCCTTCTCTCCAGCACCAGGTGTTCCAGGTAGAGAAGCAGCGCCTGGCTGTGCTTTCCCAGGTAAGTGATGACATCATCAGCGTTTAACTGTGACTGATCTTTGCTGGCAGGCCTCTTAGTAAAGATGTGGACACCTATCTATGAACAATAAAGAAAGGCTAGGTTACAACTAAAGTTCTACCCATTCATGTAAAATATTGGAAAAGGTTGCTGTAAAATGATGTGAAAATAAGCTGGCATGAGGGAAAAACATGCAGAATGTAAAGTACTCAACAACCAACAGTGTCACAAGAAAAGACATTTACTGCAAAAAAGCACATCTGTTTTTTCTATTTAAGTCACACATGAATAGAGTTGTTTGCCGGTACATAAAGGGAGCTCAATAAGAACTCAGGACCTTCCTTTTTATTTAATGAGGAACTGAAGAAATGGCTTGAGAGCTGTGGAAAGTAACAACTCTTGTTTTGAATGCCTATTCAATCATCCTATGATCAATGTGGGCTGTAGAGAATTAGTACTTGTTTATACCACTGTATAATTATGCATATGTGCTGCAGTTTTATGTGCGTTTCTTAAATTTAGATTTTTATGGCGCCTTTAATCATCTGAACAGGAACTGCTAATGAAAACAAGCCCTCTTGGCTAACTCTGGGCTATTTGCAGGGTTTTCTCCTTCAAGTAATTACATTTAGACAAAATAAAAGAAAGACACACAACTAATTACTGTTATTATTAAACCAGTTTTAAAAAAATCAACTTTGCTTCAAGCTGACCGGCATTAATAGTCTTTGACTGACAGCAGTGTTACATTTTTTAGGTAATTTAAGGTCCTGGTAACCTACAGTGGGATTCTTCCGCAGTGCCCAGTCTGCATACTTCCATACAAGGTCCAGATTGGAGCAGGAGTAGAGAAAGTCCACAATGTACTCATAAAGGTCAGATCTTGTGGAGTCCTGCAGTTCTCCATCTACCACGCGAATCCACAACTGTCAGAAAAATAAAGGGCACAGGTTAAATTCCTACACATTGTGTTGTTGCTGAGAGACTCAATAATAAACTAATTTTAGGTGTACATACCTGAAGTGCTGCTGAATCCTGACCATTATAATGATAGAGCAGCCCAAGTGCAAAATATCTAAGGAGAGGGGGGAAAATGACTGAATGAAGCAAAGAATTTCCCTCAAGAAGAGAGGGTGGTAATTAACAGCAAGAAGTATTTACTCAACAAAGCACCATCTAAGTCAGTCCCTCTAGGAATGTGCAAATTTCGTGACTGTAACAATTAAATGCAAATGATACTGATTCCCAGGGTCCACAAAAATGTTAACTTTTCTGCTAATTACCAAAGTTTTAAGCACTGTGACAAATTGAGAACATTTTACCATTATTCTTTATCAAGCAGTGAAACAACACACACATTAAAAGATTTAAGTCCAGAGCGCAGTCACACTTTCAGAATGTGTGGATGCTGTTTCAGGTTAATTGTATTTGTGTGTCCATTCCAATAACAGCTCTTCTACAGACGTGAAGGCTCTTGAGACTATAAAACGTACGTGTGTGTTAAAAAACAGCAATTTGATAAATATTCAAAACTAGATAAAAAGTTGATAATATTAAATGATAGTATACGCACTTTTGATATTTCTCCAGCCATGGGACGCTGTCTGCTAGTAGGCAGGCATTGTCTGAAGCTAGCAGGTCTAGAAGGCTGTCATGATCCTGCTCAGCATATAGCTTTAACAGTGCAGTGTCCACGTCCTCTCTACAGCCATTGGCCACCTCTGTGCTTCGTACCTGTGTGTCAGATTGAAGAAAAAACATCATGTAAAGCACAATATGAGAACTTGCGAGTGAAGTGAAGTCACTGCGAAATTCTGTTAAATCAGTTTTTACTCCATTTACCTCTCCCAAATAAGTGATAAGGAATTTCTTGCATCGCAGCACTTTCTCCTGGTCCCCCTGTGCCAGGTGGTTAAGATCTGCAAACTCATGGAGAGGAGGATGGCAGCGTGTGAATGAAGAGGAAGCTGGCAGCAGCAATGGGTAGAGAGATATCAGCTCCCGCACATCCAGCTGACCCTTCCTGCAAATAGAAAGGTAGAGTCACATAAATAACTGCTCGTGAGTGAGGGAATGAATCAAGAACTGAAAGCCAGAAAGCAAGTGTGCATTAGTATGCAGAAATTAGACACAAATTTGAAATATATTTAAAAACTCCTGAAGTAGATCCAGATTCACAACAAAAACAAATCCAAAGTTCCTTTGCCCATGGACAACACAGGAAAATGCACAGGTTTGAAAACATAACCTCCCTGGCCGAGGCGTCTATAAAATCATTACTTATGAGTAATGAGTAATTACTAAGTGATAAGTGAAGTTAATGCAGAATCAGTTGGGAGTAATTATGGGCTAGCAGCTTTGGTCAAGTAGCTCAGCACATTGCTGTTCAAGATGCAACAATTTATTTCAACAGTGAATTGATTTCAACTCTTGAACAACCACAGCTTAATATGTGTTGGTATGTGAGGGTCAATAGCAGTGAGTAACAGTGGTTAAATGGAAATATAATCACTCTTCTACTGTGATATTAATAACGTATATTTATAAAATATATATATAAATGAGGTAATGTCAGGCTTTTTTTTAAGGAAAACCTTGGGCCTGAATGATTCCTGCTAGCCACAGACAGTAATGTAATCATATTACAAAACAGAACAGTTTAACAAAAAGTTGTGAAATTCACACTGACCCAACTCTTACCTGAAGTGTTCTTTTGCTTCTTGAAACTGAAGTTGGCCAAACTGTATGAAACCTGCCTGCTGGAGGATTCTTTTGTGCAAAATCTGTACATGCAGAAAGTGACAATAGATGAGAAAGTGTTTTTTTTTTTTAGTTTAGATAATGTGATTCAGCTGTGTTTTTTAGCCCAGTTAAAGTTATATTATCATGGTTAATTGGTCATACCAGTATCATTGCGTGCCCCATAAATCACACACAAAAGGTCAAAACATTACAATGTCTGTTACCTGGAACTTGTCTTTGGGAATATTTCTCTGTGCTCCTTCTGTGAGGATGAGTGCCTCCTCCACTCTGTGACTGGCCAGTAAGTCCTGGATCTGTCTCTCCAGTGGCAGGGGTACCAGGACATACACTGCCTTAGTGGAAGCCAGAATGACCTTTCCTAAAACACACAACGCTCACAAGTCAGAACTTAAACAAACAGTCTCCAAACTGCCACGAATACCTGTAGTGTCTTGTTTAAGCACGACCAACAGACTGCTTAGTTTTTTAATCTAGTGTTTTACAGAATATCCTTTAAAACATATTTAGCTCTGGAAAGAGACAGCTTCGTATGTAATCATTACTCTCAACGATTGCAGGCAAACCAGAGGTAACAAATAGTCAATAATAGTCAGTAATCAAAATCGTTTCCAGAGTTTCCCATTTTAGCTCAGAGCTTGCTTTCTTTTCTGAGCATCAACCATAAGAATGCGTGTGGCACTTGAAGTCTCCATTGTGCACCTGTCCAGAGCGACATCATTTCAGCTGCTTATTTTGTTTAAAGCTCTGTTATATAATATTCTTCATTCCAACACTGAACTGAAAGACTCTCTGTATTATGAAAAGGTTGCCAGTGCTTCAGATCCCATTAAGAATCAAGACGCCAGTGTTCAGCTCTACGCAGCTTTCAGCTACTTTCTGCTGAAAGGTTTTGTTTCTCAATCCAGTCTCTCCATCCTCGGTTAACCCAGGCCTGTTTACTAATTCAACTTTCAGGTAAGTGCGTACACCAAGGAAGCACAGGACATGTATTCCCTCAATTTTCTATAATCTATATGAGATGGACAAATTCAAGTTTACAAGTCAAGACATGTATAAAGCTTTTTGTGGCTCCAGACGGAGCTGCACGAAGTCTGACAAAATGCCTCGAGTTAGGTCACTTTTATTATTAAAGGAGACTGCTGACCTCTGTGACAATTAAGCCTGTTACAACATACATTAGTAATGGCAAAAATGCATGGGCATCAATTAGATAATCACTCCGTCTTCTGATTGTTGCGGTTAATAGGTGGTTTGATATGACGATATAGGCTGAAAAGAAAGCAATATGTAGGGATACCTTCAAAGTCTTGCAGAATGTGTCCATCCCTGAATGAAAGTGTCTGCTTCAGCTGTTGGTCCAACATGCTGTGGATGGTGATGAAGCTCTCATCCAAAGCCACCACGTACGGAAAACACACAGCAGCACCAATCACGCTCTCTGACCAGTTGACTGGAGCCCGCTGAGACACTCCTTCAGCATTGGCAAACATTCCTGGAGGGGGATTTGGAAAGACAATTTGGAAGATAGACAGGAAGATGTCATGCAAACATTTTCTTAAATTGAGAAATACTTCACTAGTACAGACTAGTAGAAAAAAGGTGCAGACAGGCTATGAAATGTATGTAGGTTAATCTGTTTTGACAATTCATATAATACATAATAAATACTGTACATTCATTTAAAAAACAACAACAGTAACAATCAATTAAAAGTAATAAAAAGAAATTCATGAAAAACTGCCATTGCCTTTTTTATTGTTGTCAACTGTATAAGAATAATTCCTACTAATATAATAAATCAATAACATGTCATCCACCCAGATAAGTGGGTGAAGTTAAGAAGTTAACTTCTGCTGAAGTTTAAGACTTTTCAACGGCTCCTAAAACCTTTTTGAGGAAACTGAATTCACTGGTTTTTAATGACTTTTTAAAAAACCTGTTTCGGTCCTGACTTACCTAGACCACCGGGTCCTGCTAAGAGGAACTCCTCCCTGCCGATCCTCTTAACAATAGGTCTCCTCTCCTCGCTGTTGTAAGGGAAGAGGTCTTGGGAGGCTCCTGTGTTGTAGTTCAGAATCATGTACTGCGTCGCGAGGGCCAGGCACAAGAAGTAACCGTCAAGACTGACGGCGCAGGGCTGCTCAGGCGTGGTCACCTCCTTGACCAGCTGCACTCTGTCCTCATACACCATGTAAATCTGCACGGTCCGCCGCTTGGACGAGAGCACGCCCATTTCCACACAGAACGGATCGCCGTTCACCGGGTTCTCGTTTATGCAGAACTCCGTTACACCTCTGATCTTGGCTCCGCCTCCTGCCGCCGAGGGGACGGTCTCCAGTGTCACCATGTCAACGAGGAACACTATCCCGTCGCAAAGCACTATCAGGCGCTCCAAAGCGGAGGCAGCGCGCAGCTCAGCGACCGGTTTCTTGAGGCCCAGATATTTGTGCAGCAGCTTCTGAGCTGAGTAACTCAGTTTACCTTTGGAGGAAGTGACCTCGTCCAGCAGGAAGTGGTGGATGAAGCAGTCATTGGTACCCATGTACAAGTGCTTTCCACAGCATTCAATGCATTCGATGTTGATGCGAGCCTTGTCGCCCATGAGGAGATCTCGCTCCACAGCGGGGACTAGCTCAAAAGCCTTCACACTCATCTCAGCCAAGGCATCTACACTAGATGATACAAAACAGACAGGCATCAACACAACTGCAGACAAATTACAGCAATCAATGCGACAGTACGCTGCAAAGCATTGTCTTGCGATACATTATTTATTCACTGGCAACATGACGATTCATTAACAGGATATAAGGGCGTGTCGTGCGTTTGCAACAAGCTCTGGGTCGATTCTGCTTTTAAGCAGTTCAGACTTTAGCTTCTTTTTTACGGATTTTCCTCTGAAGAATGACACACATAAGTGCAAGCCTAATAAAAGCCAGACATCCCAATATATTAAGGTTTTGGGGTGTTGACTGGGCAACACATCACCCTGGAAACTGGGAAATAGTTGCAATTTTCTGACATTTTATAGCTCAAACAATTAATTGACAAATAGATCAAATGAAAGGCCTTGTTAGCAGCATATTCTGGGCGTTCATGATGTTTTAGTTAAACGTTTCCTTAAAAAAATGTCAAACAGCATAGTCTGTTTGTCATGACTGATGTCAACTGCAGATTATATTACATGTTTACACACCAGGCATGACTCAGCTTAACTACTGACTAGCAATCAACATATTAAAGTGTTGTATGTTTACTAAGTTCATATTTTATTTGTTCTAACACACACACATATATATATATATATATATAGTGTAGGTGTGTTTTGGCCCTAGTTTTATCATGCAAGTAGTGTCTTGTACATCTACATTTGGGTGTGTCGCACTTGAATAAAAGTACTACTTAAGGTTTAGCCCCTCGGTCATACAGATAACTTATAAAGTGTAAATTGTGCTCATTTTCCTTAACAATAAATAGAGATAGCGCTATTATGGCAACTCCTTCAACCATCGTGTAATTCGCAGCTTCCTGTGTAATGTCTAGAAGCTAAGTTTATCCTCTCACATAAGCAGATATTCATTGGAGTCCGAGTAGGGTTACTTTTTAACACATTTGGTAAACACAGTTGCTCTCATGTAGCTTTGCTCAAACAGCTAATGACGTTAGCGCCAGATAGCTTAAGGTTAAATCCACAGATGCAGACGAGAGCAACATAAAATCCACCGGTTAACACTTTCTGTCTGGAGGTGGACTTTTTTTGTTGTTGTTAATGTAGAATAAGCATGTAAGGAAGTCCTGGTCGGCTTTTTTTTTTTTCAAATTGATTAAACCAAGTAGGTAGCTTCTTGGCCAGCTAGAAGCTAACGTTAGCTCAAGTAGACAGTCCTCCAGTGAAGTCAATGCGAGCCAGCAAACAAACACCACAACCAGCCAGATTCCCAAAGAGCCTGCAGAAGAGCTTTAATGAGAGTGTGTCCTAACAACCATAGGATGTCTGTCCGAAGATAAACAACCAAGTTTCCCCTCCGTCCTCCCCTCCCTTGAGACGATGTTGTTAGCAATGGTACCTACCGCTGCTGACCGCGTTCAGGACTGCAGGCCGTATCACCGCCAACAGGCGAGCCTTAATACGCCAAATACAGCAGCCACGACAAACATTTACGGTCAAATATTAATGCAGCCATGGCGCTCGGGTCGGCGCCACACTGACCGGCGGATAATGTTGGTGGAAAGGCCGCGGTGGGTGTTAGCTGTCCGGTGTAACACGCCGCCCATTTGCACTGAACTCTGCTGGTTGCAGGTGATACAGGGGTGCGTTCAAGACTGCGGCGAGGAGGGAGGTTGATAAAAGGCGATTTTTCAACACATTTCACACTGAGTTTTTAATGTGTTACTAGTTAAAAAGTCAAAGTCAGCTTTGTTGTCAATTACTTCACATGCACCGGACATATAAGGTAATAGAGAGGACGTTTGTCACTCTCAACAACAGACAAGACATTTACTAATGCTAAAAGATAAAAAAAAGATAGACAATAAATACTAAATATACAATATACAATACTTATGGTAGGTGCAAAAAAGAAAAGTGAAACAGTAAATAGTAACAGTATCTGTTTTATATAAAATGCTTAACAAAGTTGTTTACAGTTTCTTTCTGTTCTCTCCAAGTAGAAATTATATATAGTATATATATATATATCGTTTTTATCTTATTTGTATTATATACAAAAGTTTATTTTACATAGGAAACTACACTGTGCAATATATATTATCTTACGGGTCTTTTATATAAAAGTATTTTTTTTCTCTCTTCTTTTTTATATTTGCATATTTATTTTGTACATACTGCCTCCCCTTTATTCCTGCGGTGCTATGTGCCATTGTAACGTCATTTCATTTTGAAGTCTAAGTCTATTAATATAGTAGTGTATATATTTTGCACTCCATGTCCTACTTGAACAATGCATAGTGTATATACTTTATAGTTTTATATCTTCTAATATTAATAATATTAGTAAGATTTTTATTGAGATATTCTTTGTTCTCTGTTTTGGCACTACTTTGCCCTGTTGCTGCTGGGGGGGATGAATAAAGAAATATCTTATCTTATCTTATATATTTCAGTGATCTTTGGTAGTGCCATAAAAAAAAATTGTGACATGATTATACTTTAATTTTAGTGCTTGGGACAAAGTGAGAATTTATAAATGTTACTAATTCCAGCTGTGCTTTTCTTGTTATGACTGCAGTGAAAAAGATGTATTTAAATGAATCTGTTGTGTCTTTACTGTACAACGTTACTGATATAGCAGCAATTATTTATTTTTTGCTATATTTTTTACATTGCTTTTTCTCTAAAGTGATCATAGATAGATAGATAGATAGATAGACTTTATTGATCCCAAGCTGGGAAAATGCAGTGTAGCAGCAGCATTACA